ATGTGCGGTAACCTGCAATAATGGGCCAATAATAGTATACCAAAACTCGAACACGGTAAATACCGTACCATGATTTTTTTGCACTCGTACAGAACGCGACACTGTTAGCGCGAGCAGGCTATCGCCGTTTTCTCCAGTTTTTCTCTTTGAAACCAAGGGATCTCATCCAAGTTACTATTGCTACGGAAAGAGCTCATTTAGTTCTATAATGTAAGCGATGAAATTTCGTCCTCGCTAATACTATTTAGAAGTATAATGCGAAAATGCGCAGATGTCGCGTTCGCGCTAACAGTATCGCGATGTGTACATATATCACTAAAGTACTATTATATCGTGCTTCTGTTTTCGAAATTTTGCGAACAAATATTTGTACATGGTCTTGGCTACCAGATGTCTCCATGTTCTGGCAGACATCTGGCATCGCAGACGCACATTAATATAAATTCTAGAGGACGCATTTGTATATTTATGGTTTCATTTGCTGTTCGGCATGGTGTTTTTTTCTTTAGCTACCCTTAGAGGCATGCGGATAGGAAGGTAATTAATTGTTATCACGTCATTTTATTAGACTCATTTAAAACAAAGATCAGTAAAGTGCAGACAGCAGTGGCATTATAAAAATTAAATTATGCGATTATACGTTCTTTTTTACACCAATAAGTAATCCTATTTTGGAACATCTGGTTGTATTAATTGAATGCTATATTAATTAAGTATATTAGAGCAATTTTGATGAAATTACATTTTCAGAGTTGATTCAAGACGTGTAGAGTTTTTTTTTTAAAAATCCTTCCATTGGAAATATTTTTTATTCATGTTAAAAACGTGATCCTTGTATTTACTCAACTCAACTCAAACGACTGACTATAAAAAAGAAAATCCTGTATTCATGAACTTCAAGAATAATGTAATTTCCGGGTCAAAAATTATAGAAAATATACGTTCATAATAACTATACTTAAACGCGGTAATGTGCACTGTTAGTTTATGACAACCTGGAATTATATAATAAAAAAAAACATTTATAAAAAATATTTAAAAGTTTTAAATGTTTGATCACGCAAACGCTTTCTTTAAGAGTCAGCACCAGGTTCAGTAAGCTATGTGCATTCGCAAATTGCTGTTATTTTTAGTCCGATTCGCTAGTACGTTTGCTTCCTCAAAACGCGTTTGTGCTACCGTATTTACTCGAGTAATAGCCGCACTAGTTATGAACAAGACCCTTGCGTTTGCTTTACCGCAGAACACATATGCAGCCAATCATCGCGTTGCGCATAAATAACATAGCGAATAACCAAATAGAGAACACGATTCTCTATACAAATGCAATCTTCACGGATTGTATCTTCGCGCGAAGACGTTATGTCTGTCCTGTAAACCGCTGGAATCATGCTGTCGATCACGGTGATTGGCAGGCCGCGTGCTCCGCGGAAAGGCGAACCCTCAAGCTTTCTTCATACACAGTGCGGCTGTTACTCGAGTAAATACGGTATATCTGAGTAAATGGCGATGTGAGCTTTTATGACCACTGACAGGGCGAGAACGACAGGGGGGAGCCTCAGTTGCCCCGCCTCCAGAACGACCTTGCCGCCTTCGGCTGCGCTTCGTCGCAGCGTGCACCTGCAGCGCGCATGCGCAGTCAAAGCACGGCGGAAGGCATACAGCGCGTTCTCGAGGCCGGGCTTTCGAAAGACACGCTCTGCCGTTCGCATTCTGTCAATGCCTAGACTCGCATCGACGCAGCTGTCTAATAATGCACAAATAAGAGCACTGTGACTTGTGTATAGGGAGTATTCACTGGCGGCCATATCCGTGTGCGCTGCTGCTGAGCGTGTGCTGACGGCGAGCTTCCGTAGTCCTTTTAGAGCGTGCATTTAGCACCATCAGGGTTGCCGGTCTTAGCAGGCTATTAATGTGAACTCGTTCTGAGCATGCGCTCTAAACATCGCCCTCAAATATGGCGCCCAGTGAATACCTCCTGTATTATTATTTTTTTATCTAGATAAATACGAAGGGGCCGATTAGCATGATAATAAAGAAACGCATTTCACTCTAGGGTTCTCTGGTGGCGTACAATGTCTACGCCCGAAAGGAGAGCAGATTGGGGGGGGGGGGGGCAGGATCGCCAGAGGAGTTCTAGCCCGCAAGGATGCTTTCCCTCACGAACCCTTACTTAGTGAGGAAGCCGCATTTAAATTGTTCCTGGATATCTTGTACTTTATATAGTACGGTGGAAAATAAACATCAAGATGATGTTATTCGATGTGAATCATGGTTTAAATCGTGAATTACATCCACACAGGTTTTACTACATTAATTCAATTCAAACATTTTCTCTCAAATCAAATGCCATTACCTTTTTTTATATTTAATCTGCGTAAATCTAGTTAAATATAGAGACAAAATCAAGCAAGAATGATTTACATAAAAATGAACACAAGCAAAAAGCGCAACTAAATAAGAGCGTTGAAGTTTCCTTCTACCATTATCTTCGTCGGTTACGTAATGTACAATAGCAGGCAAATCAAAACGCGGATGAAGAAGCAAATACAGCTTTTCTTATTAACTAAAACATGGAGCTTCATTTGTTCTCGGATGGCAAGTTTTGCATAAATAAGAAGCTTTTTAATTCATCGGATAGATACACAGTCATTCTTGCGCACAGTTTTTCAGTAATTGAACTGATTAATTCGTTAATCTGCCATGCTCGAAGTACACTTATACATAGAGAATAGCTGTTCTCTAACTATAAGGATTTAAATTAAAGTGAAGCTATTTCAATCAAAGTAACCCGAATTATATCAAATAAAACTGATATCAATCAAACAAATTAGATTGAAGTGATATAAATTCGATTTGTATGATTTTTAAACAAAAGAATTTTTTTTTCACTCTGATACATACGCACAGCAACGCGCAGCATACATAGAACTCCATGTTTCCCCACGCCAAGTCCGGGCGCTACACGATCGGAGAAACCACATACACGTGTGGCGATGCCGCTCCGAATGTGTCATGTCGACAGCAGCGCCACTGTAGCGGCGTGACGTCGCAACAGCCGCATTTGTCTATACTCTGTTTACCCATGCTGTAAAGCGAGACTCAATTGTTTTACAGCGGAGCTGTTAAGGGCTAGTTTCTCCAGTATCGTGACCGTGTGAAAAATAACTTATGACACGAAACTCTGGGCAGCTACCGGCATCTATTAGCGACGGCGGAAACCAGACAACCGGCTTGTCGGTAGCGGGCGCCGTCGCTTATAGATGGTGCAACCTTTCCAACCTTTCCACTCTGGCTTGCTGGCTTCCGGCCGGAAATTACTTCACTCCCACCTTAGTAAAGCTTCGCTGGTTTTCTTTCTTCACCAAAATGGAAAGGCTGAAAATTTTTTTCCCCATTTTATTAAACAACTGACCGCAGGGGACGTGACGAGGCATCAGAGGATATTCATTGTGGCACCGTCCACCTAACGTTTGCGGCAAGGCGCAGCGGAACGTGGAGCATGAAGTCACGTGGCAGTGGCTGGCACGCTTGATTAATTGGGATGGTTTGTATCCTTGGATTCGGATGATTCTGGTTTGAAGCAGAGCGTAAATGTTACAGGAAGAGAAGTCGTCATCGTCAGCATCACCGGCCGTTTTCTTTCCGTGGAGGGAACTCCCTCAATTTGGTGGCGTGTTTAGACCTATATATTTCTAGTGGTAACTTTATTCACGATTGTAACACTAAATTCTCGATGTATTTAAAAAAAAAAGAAAATTTCAATCACTTTTGTATACAAAAAGTGAAGGGGCAATTGAATATTACACACAATGCGAAACAGTCCTTTACTCGGTACTGCATTATTTTATTTTGGAAGATTCCTTCATTGTCCAACTTATCCACCAAACCGGATGAAAAATGTGTTCGCAAGTGCCATATCATTCAATTGTCACGCACTGTGGGCAAAACATCAAAATTTGACTCGGTTTTACCTTAACTTGATTCACCACGTAGGTTTCGAGCAAAAAGACAGAAAATAGGAGATGGCGTGCTTTATTCGAGCGCATAAGTTACATTCAACTTCCTTTGCAAACAACAACTGAGGGTCCGCTTTGGCGATGATTTTTTCTCTCGGTGATAAAAGCTATAACTACATGTATTTTAGTGTTAATTGCTTATAAACGTCATCCTTACGTGTCTTGTGAGCACAATAAAATTGCCACGTAGCATATGAGAGACAGCAGTTCACCAAAAGCTATGTTCCCTGGTAACCTCAAGGACAATAAACTCGCTCCACGGCATTCACCCCACCCCCATTTCACCGCTGACCTGACCGTGTGGAGAAATCTATGTGCACCCCCCCCCCCCCCCCCCCCATCAGACCAAACAGTCGCCGCCTTGCATCGCTTTACCTTGGGCTCTGCTTGTATGAGTTCGCAGAGAAAGTAATTACGAGGTGCAAGAACTCGTCCATCTAGCACTAAGCTTCCAATCTCCTGGCAGATTATCGATTAAGCCAGTGTAATAAAGCAGGTTTCTGACATGGAAGCGATAAAAAAAACTTCATTTTTCATGCTGCCACCGACAGCTTCGGACCGTTATAGTACTGACAAGAGCCACATCTAAGCCTCGAGCATCAAAACTTCATTCACCAATTTTCTTCTAAGCGCCTCCATCTTGTTGCCTAGCGCAGACCAAGCGCAAGTAGTGACAGTTAAAATTTAAAAATGCGACTTTTTTATCTTTACATACGGTATTCAAGAACTCGAAAGAAGCTGTTTTGAACGTTTATGAAAAACGAAAAAAAGCGATTCCTGCAATTTTAAATTGGGCAACAAGATAGATAACTGGCAGCGATAATTTTAGGCAACAAGATGGCTGCAACGCCGTTACTTGGAAACGGAGCTCATGTTATGGCTCTAGTGCAGAGAAGGTGTCATAATGATTAAGTGTCCAATATTTTGTTCAAAGAGACTCACGAGACGTTACTTTTTCTCTCTTCCTTTGTGCGAGTGCAGTGTGTTCGCTGCTGAGCACGGGCATCGCGGGCATCCTTGGCCCTTCGTCGGACGTGACCAGCATGCACGTGCAGTCCATCTGCGACGCCCTGGACATACCGCACGTGGAGATGCGCTGGGACTTCCAGCTGCAGCGCGACGACCTGTCCATCAACCTTTTCCCCAAGCCCTCGGTGCTAGCCAAGGCCTACGTCGACCTCATCAAAACCTGGGGTTGGAACAGGTTCGCCCTCGTCTACGAGGACCACGAAGGTCAGAGACCTTGCCTACGCTCACCCTGTCCGGTATCATTCTCTTCGAGTTGAAAAGGGCAAGGCTGAAAAGGGTCGACGGTGCTGAACGCTTCATAGATGAGAAAGCCAGAGGGCTGAATATTCTACGCCACGTAAAAAGAAAAACGCGGGCGCTGGTTGGATACGAGTTGCGCGTCGGCATCCGGACGGAACTCGTTTGCAATCAGCGCCCGCGCTGGCCTCCAATGGGTGACGTAGACAATATAGTTTCAATTTTCGTTTGAGGTTTTATTTACCCGGCGGCCCCGGTGCCTACTTATTTATCCCGTGGAGCAATTTATAAGCACCGTCAAAAAGAGCGTGTCAGGTTTGCTTTAATCCAAAACCGTCGGTTTTATTACCAGCCTTGCCTGTCTTTATTTTGGATGAGCGACGAACCGGAGTATAATGGCATAATCACCGAATCCGGATGTACGCTAAAGACCCTAAGTCGGCGCTTGTATTTCTGTGGTCAGAGTGGCAATATACTGCAAAGATACTCCGCGTTCTTTAAAGCAAACTAACTTTTGTTGTCCAAACATTCATACAAAAAAGTTGCTAACACGGTGTAAAATATAACATGAACCGCAATGATGGGCTATGAAAGTATTGCGATAAAAAATCTTTCAAATTTTTTGTATTTTACTGGTACATTTGTCACAATAGACATTTGGCTAAACTATGATTTTTTTTTGAACTGATACAGAAAGTAAACGCTAGTCATTCTTTCACTTTCAGAGCTGTAGAATATTTTCTTACATAAAACATGATGGGTGGCTCAACGTGCTTACTTACACCTACTCTAAAACTACCGAACTTTGCGTAGCTTTTCAACTACTACGCTGGATGTTACAGTGCACATAACAAGCCAAAAACAGGTAATGATCAAGAGATGTGAACATTTCCATTTTCATCACCAAAACGTTTGGTTAGTGCTGAAAAAAAAAAATAGAAGCAATCATGTTGCTCAGACTGTTAATCTTCCTCCCTCGTAACTCAATTGATGGTCATTCGGGAATGTCAAAAGTGAATACTCACCGAGAGTGAGCAGCACTTCTCTAGCTTTGCCTCATCCGATTCGCGCCAATTTTGAGAAGAGTGGGGAAAGGGTGTGTGTGTGTGTGTGTGGGGGGGGGGGGGGGGACTGGTAGAATACGTAAGGAGACAAGGACAAAATATTATAAGAAAGCAGCATGTAACCTCAACCCAGCTTCACGCCATTAGGACCACATAAAAGAAGTGCGTTTTTCACTTTCGTCGGCTTCCCCGTCGCAGAAGAGGAAAACAGGGATAAAGTAGCCCGGAGACGACGGTGGGGATTTTGGGAGGACGCAAGAGGTAAACAGAAAAAAAATAAAATTGGGGATTTCAGGCTTTGGTTGCGAGTAGATGATATAAAACGAGAGATAAACACCGGCACAAAAAAAAAATAACTTCAGAAATATCGTTTCGAACAATAACAACAAATAAAAAAAAGTAAACTGGCGTCAACGACACGAAGTGGACGTCTATTTTCGGGGGAGGTCTTCCGCTTGTCGCGGCCAACTTACGTTTTTGAAGAAGATTGTCCACCAATGTGAGGCGTGGACGCGCAGTTCCCCTTCCTTTCCGCTGCCGCAGTCTTTTGCCTGGTCGATAAAGTGTGATGGTTGTCGCCTCGCTGCCTTTTATAAGAAGGGGAACGTGAACGGAAAAGGGAGAGAAGCGGGAATGGTCTTCTTCGAAGTGTGTTTCTTTCCGAGTTGAACGGCGACGATAAACACGACGCTGCAGGGCGTGTTCTAGAGAAACTACTATGCTCGACAAGGCTGTGGGTCCTTGGAAGACGGAGGAAAAAAGAAGCTATAAAACATCATTTTTAAAAAGGTTAATCTCGATCGCAAGTGATTTTTGTCTTTGCACTATAATACCATTATTTCTGGTATACTGGCCTAGAGACGCCGTTATGGTGTTCTGTATTTTGATAGATGGGTCCGCATTGCGTTCGAAAACATTAAAAACAGCCAGCGTCTAGCGGCCTAAAAACATCATTGGTAAACATAACGTGTATTTCTCGTGATTGGTTGTTCGACACTGTTATCGGGTCATGCCGCAATCACACTGGCTTAAGAACGATAATATTATTATCGGTGCACGCCACCTCGCCCTGCGCACCTTGAGTTACGTGGCGTGCTTACTAGTCCGCCTAAGTGACCTCGAAATCAAATCGCCTTGTTCCAGGTTCGCCTCCCAAAATTATGCCTGTTTCTAACGTTGACATAAAACATGGAGCTAGATTTGCGTTATTATACACATCGTTCGGTGATTGTGCCTGCGTCGTCCCGGGGTAGGGCTTGACCCTTTTTTTTTTAAATTTTATTTTCTCGCAGCGCATTCGATGGTCTGTCGTTATTCTACGTTCCATTCAGCTCTCCGAGTCTCATTCAAGCAAGCAAAACATGAGCAAATGCTGTGCCCCTCAAAAAGGGTTATGCCAGAATTGGACCACGCGTGGCGTCTTTGTGAAGCCGCGACAGGAAGAGCTGACGTCAGCGAAGTAGTGTCTAATGCGGTGTGGGCGTCATATATAAAACTTTTGGACTCGTAGGTGTTGAGCTTCAGGCAATAGCTTGTATGCGTGCGTGAGTGACGTAATCGTTCTTATATTCTCAGAGGCCGCAACAGAACCTGTCGTCGCTGGTGTAGTCAGCAGAAATAACTGAACTGTCCTTTGGCTGTCAATCCAACGGGTGCCATGGAAAGGCGTCGTACACTTTTGTATTTTTATCTTAAATTGCTTTCATAATAAAAACAGCTGTGATATGTGGGGAACGTTTATGCTACTAATAAAAAAATTATTTCATTCAACCAACGTAGCGCAAAAATTGCAAGAGAGTTTGTTTCATAAGCCCTCAAAAGGTTCGGTATTGAAGAATGTCACGTAATGTAGGGTCCAGCACTGGGATAACTTGCTCATTTTTAGCTGTCTATAATGAAAAGTATTTTTAAATGCCAGTTTATGCGAACACCACAATAAGTTAAGTTTCCACGCTTTCCACCTGTAAAGTGCTTTCTCTATATCCTGTAGTAAATATAGGAAAAATGCGTTTCTGTAGTCATTCTGTTTTACCTGTAGCAACAAGAATCACACAGCTTTGGCCGTCCCATCGTATTATACGCCCCGTTAAATTAAAAGCTTTGTATCTGTAAATTATAAAGAGGGGTTTTCACTGAAATCTGGCCAAGGTCTTCCCGTAAAAACCAGGCGTTGCAGAAAACAGTAATTGAAGCCGTATGAAGCATTGCCGAGGAGCTTACTTAAGCAACCACATAGCTTTTCGGATAACTACTCCTTTTAATCGTCTTGCGCAATTACCCATTTATCAGTACAAGTTAACATAATGTTTTAATTTGCAACACGTGAGTCAATTTCGGTGGAGTATTATAGCGCGTTGAAAGCCTGGGGACGGAAAAATGTTACTTGTTGTGCTATTTCGTTTATACCTATGAAGGGACTGCCTAGAACAATAGTCTGTTTTTACTTATTTGCGATAACTAGAAAGTTAACTATGAAAAACTGCATAATAATTTAATTGATCTGAGCTTTGCGTACCTGATTTTATGAGCCCGTTGAGAGCGACTAACACAAAAACATTTGGCCGTTGTTTAAAGGGAACCACCGGTACAGAGCATGTCCTCACATGGTGAAAACGTATAAGGCATGGGAACGTCCAAACACTGAAGATGGAAGAACGAGAAAATATGTTCTTATTCTTCCACAAGGTGAAAGAATAAGAACATGTTGTCTTGTTCTTCCACCTTGTTCAAGTCTACAAGCGGCACCATGTTTTCAGAGACTTAGTACCAACTCGCCCGACAGTCAGCATTGCTCCTCAATAACCCGTTCAATACTTTTTTTTGCCGCAGGTATCATAAGGCTTCAGGATTTTCTGAAAGAGGCCCGGGGCAACGACTGGAACATTCAGATGTACCAGTTCCACTCAGGTCAGCCATACCGGGACCTTTTCTGGAAGATCAAGAAGACAAAAGAAACACGGGTTGTACTGGACGTCAAGAGGGAAAACCTATTCATTGCCCTAAAGCACGTGAGTTCTATATGCGTCTTTTCTTGTTCTTGCCAAGTGTGTTCACAAGGACGCCATACTTTCTGTCTTTCCAAAGTTCGTTCTATGATAGGCATTTCTAGCCAATATATGTTAAATAACTGAAAGATACGAACAGAAAGATACGAACGGCCAGGTGTGTTTTAATAAATAAACAATCCTGAGAGCAGCTTATTATTTTTTGTTGAGCGAATACGTAGTAACTGCGGTTTATTTTATTTTGACTGCAGGCGCAGCAAGTAGGAATGCTTACGGAAAGCCACAGTTACCTCATCACTTCACTCGTAAGTATATGGTTGCTCTTGGGCATTACTTTACCTTTTTTCTACTCAGGGGCTCTTATCAGATTTTTTAATAATTGATAATATCATATATCTTCCATTTGTTTTAGATTCATCATTATATGAGCAAACTAATTATATCGGCTCTTTACTCCAAGAACTAATGCTTTAGATTATTAAAATTTAAATGTCTTCGTTACGTTACGAGTTCTTTCAAAAAGGCACTCTAAAAGAAAAAAAAATCCTGTGCGTCTACTTTGCGGCAGAACACGCAAAGAGCCAATCACCGCCTCTTACGGAGGCAGCTCAGCGAATAACGATGCCAAAACATATGTTTAGACCAAAAAACGCAGTCTGAGTTGTGATATTAAGCAATGCAAAACTTCACGCTTGCATTGCTTAATGTCACAACTCAGAGTGCGTTTTTTTTTTTTATAAACATATGTTTCGGCATCGTCATTTGTTGAGCTGCCTCCGTAAGTTGCGGTAATTGGCTCTCCGTGTGTTGTGTGGAAAAGTAGGCACACCGTTTTTTTTTTTTGTTTTTTTTTAGAATGTATCTTATATATCATTAAGCGGATAATACAAATTTATATATTAAAATAATCTTTAGATAAGCATAGACTAATCGAATATTTTGACTATTGTGAATAGTACAATTTACATTTTCACATTTAAATATAGGTATCCTAATATTAAAAAAAAAACACTCTGCAACCATTTTAAATGAAAATCACTATAATTATATTCTCTTATATAAGAAAAGATTAGAAATTATATTATATTCAACTTTTTTTGAGAAGAAGTATTTTGTCTCACGCTTTATTGAATATGTTCAAGTATAGCTGTTCACGTCTGACACAATATGCACTCTCAGGAATTCCTGCATTTAATATGTACCACAACCCACGCAGAGACCTTATCATATGCCTTTCTTCGAGCACTCTAGCCAATAAAAACAGCATCCTGTACATAGCGTTATCGGTCCTGCAGTCTCAGTGGCCGAAAGACGTCTACATTCCTCGTGTCTCAACGGTTTCACCGGTGAAGGGTGGCACCTCTCTTTCTTTTAATTCGCTAGTCTAATAAAAAAAATCAATCATTAATGCTCCGGCTGCAGTATATATGCATGCAATATATAGTGAAACAGTTAAAAAAAATTATGAAGTAAGGCTTGCATAAATTTAATGTGTTAGCGTTTCCATTGTCTACCAGCGTCCGGAAGCTCGACGTGCTCAATCAGTTTCAATTGTCTTCGCGACCCATAAAACCGCTCGCTCGTGGGGTGCGAACGGAAGACGGATGTGTGGATGCATCCTTCGTGATACTATTCATACTTTCTAATATATGTTGTTTGCTGACAGCGTATGAAACGCGCGACGTGGCCAATTACGTTCATGCTCTTGCATCCTTCGTGATTCGGTCTTCGGTGTTCGTACCGGCTATATTATGCCAAAGACTAATTGGCTTCGGAGTGATAACGGTTAACTGGGAACCGCGGCGCCCCGCATTTCCGAATGTTTCAGCGACTACGTAAGTTAATTATAGTAATGTGATTTATTTTCCGTCAAAACTGTATGACGGAGGGAGACAGAGGAAAAAAGCTGCATGATGCAGCTTGACAAGCCCTCGGCACCCATTCCTACATTTGGCAGCAGTGGCACAGAAAACAAAACAAAAAGACAAAAGTTCACGTGAAAGGATATTCACAGCGAAAGAATGCATACATGAAAAGCGCAGTTCACCACAAGAAAGTAAGGCATACATTTATGGTACTATTGTCTAAAAGGTAAATATAATACATTTGTTACACAGTCATATTAGAAGAAAAAATGCTCCAAGGTCTCTAAATCACGTGGTAGGAAGGTGGATGTTTTCGGTGTGAAGTAAGTTGAGTAGCCTAGGTAGGGTACTTGATGTCATTTGCTCGCCATATGTTGTTTTGTAATTTTGGAGCATCCAGTACCCCGTGCTACGGATGGGATATGCGGTCACTCTTGGTGCTAGTGACGCGAGTTCCAGAAATTTACGAGCATTTTTTTAATGTAATTTATAAGTTACATGTGATTTATAAGTTACAAGTGAGTTATGAGCTGTAACCGCACTCAATCTTTACTACAAAATTCAGAGTGTGCATCGCCTATTCACCTCGAGATTCGATCGACACGGCTCAAGTGATGAAATGCAGAACTACGCTTCGTTTTACACTTGCTGGGAGCAAAACGAATGCTACGCATGAGAGGCCGAAGCCATGGGAAGCGGCAATTCAGCGCTCGTGCACTGGGGAGCAACTGTCATAGCCTGCTCTATACTCACAAGGCCTGGCAGTTCGACGACGGAGCCGTAGAGTGCCCGCCCGCAGATTTGGGGCACGATGATCTGGTAGCACAGAGCATTTCTCGGGGCACCTGGTTGTCAGCGCACAAATTTTGCAGCGGCGAGGACCAGAAACGTGGTTTTCAAACCCGTCGAGAAAAAGAAGCGGTAGGGCGAAGAACGCAAGGAGCACGAGCGGATATTCCATCGCTGGGGGATGGGTGTTTCAGCGTCTCGCCGCAGCGGGGCGCCCGTCACATCGCTCGCCTCTTATCCGTTGTCTGACGCTCTATACTTTTTTCAATTTCGGCGGCCGCGTCTCGTGGCGATCTGCCAGGCGTTGTCAGTATAGAGGAGGCTATGCAACTGCTAAAAGCTGGTGCTCTGTACCCTTGCCCGTTCTCTGTGCCGTTAGTGTGGATGCTTTGTCTCCACCCGCATTGTGAACAGATGGAATCACCACGTACCTCGTAGAGGATTATAGATAAAAAGAAGCACGCTTACACACAATTTAATCTGGGTCTCGAGGTTAATAGTCCGCTTCATCTCAAGTCAGAACGCAGCGGACAATACATTCCACTCGAACCAACCAAGAAGTCCCAAAATCGCATTGTCACGCCGCTCGTTGTCTTTACGGGTTTGTTATAATTGGCTAGACATATTATGCACAAAAACAGAATGCCGTCACTGGAACATACTGCCCCCCCCCCCCCCCTTACGTCACTAAGTTTTGCGAAGGACAGATTGAAAGAAATTACGGGACACTTCAGACTGCTTACGTGCAATAATGCGAAAGCATTCCTACACGTAGCGCATTCCTACGAGCAGCACGCTCCGCTGTCCGCGGCGCGGAGGACAGTGGGCAGCGCGCAGCATTCCTCTGTGGCGGGACATGGCTGAAAGCAGAGCCTAGAAAACGTGAGGAGCGGGAATTTCCCGCCCTCTTCTCTGCCCCCCCCCCCCCCCCCCCCCCCTCCCCTCCGGGCCTCCGGCGACACCTGACATGTGACCCAAAAAGAGGGAATGGGGCGGCCGCGCGCGCGCCACCCTCTCCCTTTAAGAAGAATACGGCGGCAGCGCCATGGAGAGGGCTTTTCTGTGATGTGGCGTTCCTTGGAACTATGACGCGCCGCAGCCAATCGGACTTTAGGTACTGTTTCGCTCAGCCAATGGGAGGATGGCAATTTCTCTGCTGTTTTTCGTGCCCTCAAAACCTGATAACGCCGGTTCGCTTCATCAAACACTTAATGCTTTCGCATAAAAAAAAAGAAGGAGCAGGATCGCGGCTTGCTTACTGTGCGCGATTGGTTTCATCGGTAATGGCAAATGTGCAGAGACGATGAGCGCCTCGATGATGCACAATTGGCGCTGGTTGATTGGCTCCATCGAATCCCAGTAGCGTTTGCAGTTGGAATAAAAACAAAACGAGTATAGACAATGAGGTGGGCCCGTGAAACGTGTGAGAGACCAGCCTAAATTTCCTAGATAAGAGCTTCTTACAAGTAGCGACATTCTTTGACGCGCTGATTGCACGACGGTGCAGTTTTAGGAAGCAAATGACGGCGCCCAGCAGAGGACTGAACTGAATGACACCATTTTGTTCTAGCGGCATGGACTTTTGTCATTTGTATCGGGTGCCGTTACTCGTAAAAAGAAGCACACAGGGAGTTTAGTCTAACCGAGATCGGAATGCACCATAATACATTGAGCATGACGACACATCCGCTAAGCATTTTAGCCTTGACGTAGCTTTTCGGATTATGGATTTTTTTTTATTGCGTTTTTATTTTTTCAAGTTTATCTACATATGGCGACCAAGTGCTGGGAAACGCGCCTCTTGCGCATCGGAACGCAACACTCTAAAAAGTGCCTGCGCCTCTACTTACCCGCAAAACACTCAAAGAGCCAATCTCTGCGGTCTATGAAATCAGGTCATCGAATGATGAGGCGGAACATTCGTTAAGAAATAAAAATGAAGTCTGCGCTGTGGCATTACGCAATGCAAGCATGGCCCTTTGCATTGCGTAAGGCCACAGCGCAGACTTTACTTTTAGGTCTAAACGGATGTCCCGCCTCATCATTCGCTGAGCTGATATCCTAAATCACAATGATTGGCTCTTTGAGTGTTTTGCGGGTAAGTAGAGGCGCAGGCATTTTTTTAGAGTGAAGGAAGGGGCACGCTAATGAAAGGTCATCGTAAAGGAAACGCGCGACGAGAGGTAGACAAGGGCACGCCGTTATTGTGCGAGGTCTGGCGAGAAGCAGGTGCACGTGGCCGCATCTGGAGTGTAAACAAACGCACCGGATGAGTGCTCCGACCGGCGATATTTGTCTACTTGGCGGAGGGAAGATGTTCGGAGCATCCGAAGTAGATCCTTTCCCCGGATCATAAGGTACGCCACTTATCTGTTCACAGCCAGGTGAATCGGTAGTTTTTACATGAGTGATAAGCTCTGGAAAGGGAGCGTGGACCATTCCAATTATCGCCTTCTCTGCGCGGCTACCTTTGACTATTGGGTTGTTGAAAGCCTTCCGACCATGTCCAGTATTTCTTCCACTGAACATGAGATAACCTTCGTGTTCACAACCCAAGGCATTTGCTTTTCTTTATCCGGAAGATAAGCGCCGGAAATGTGCAAACACCGCCGCAAAAAGCGCTCACTAAACTATAAAAAGAAAGGAAACATATAGCGTTTATCTTTTCGCAAAACAGCCGAGATAACCACTCGATGTAATCTACGGTGGGGAGATTAGTGGATGATGGGCCTGGAAATACATTTTGACCCATCAAGACGGTGTGGACAACGATACCTAGCATGTTGTAAATATCTGAAAGCTTCTGCCCATTGTCAGGGTGCATATTTTCCTTGCATTATTTCATAAGTCTCCTCATTCGCCCAGATTCCTTCGTACATTGCTCGATCGGTTCTCCTAAGTGCTTTGCGGTAAGGTACACTCTTAAAAAAGGGGTGCAGCCTTACACCCTGTCTCATTTAATACATCCCAAAACCTCAGTTCGACGTATAGCACTCTGATGTCGAACTGACTGCCCCAACGTTTACGAGGGGCTTGACAGCGGTGCGATATATCATATTAAACAGCCGAAAGTACGTATCAAAATCTACAGAAAGAAACTTTCAGCCTTTCCACTCTAGTGAAGAAGGAAGACCAGCGAAGCTGTACGCTCGTCCCGTGTGTTTCTTCTTCGTCCTGCGATGAATTACCACCAACTCGGCCAACGATCCATCCTTCTATGATGACTGGAACGGTTGCCGCCATTCATGAGCGACGGCGGCAGCCAGACTGGTTGTCTGGTTTTCGCCATCGCTCATAGATGGCGGTAGCTGTCCAGAGTTTTGTGCAGTATTGTGTCGACATTTCGTTCGTATCGGACACGAAACTGGGGAAACTAGCCCTTAACAGCTCCGGCGTAAAAAACAGAGGTTTTGCATTATTTCCATGAAAACCCCGATTACTTTTATTGCAGTCAACAATAAGTACATTAGCCGTTTTAATGAGTTGTATAACTCGGCTATCAAGCCAGTCGTGAAAGTTGGTACGTCGCGGTTCAAGGTGAGTGCGCTCTACGCTAAACTGAAGATTTGGGGTGTATTGCATGTGACAAGGGATGTAAGAATAGACACTTTCTTCTTAGAGTGTAGACGCATTCGATTTTTCAAAGTGTAGAAAGCAAAAAAGTAGACAAGCCGGTATTTTTAAAGTATTTACGCGTCTGTTTTGTGCGGGAAACGTATGCCCAAGGAAACGTATACCCAAGCTCGCTAAAATATTTTTCATACAGAATAGAAACAAGAAGCGCTCTGCTCTACTTGAAAGGAGATGCATTCGCATCGCTCATGTGGATCGCACTACGAAAATGAACGAAATATTTATCTCCGGGTGCACCCGGGTCTGATTTCCGCTTGCCGTGTGCTGTCCGCCCTTCCAGGACCTGCACACGGTGGACCTGGAAGAATTCAAGTACGGCCAGACCAAGATCACGGGCTACAGACTGGTGGACGTGGACAGCCCCGAGTTGCAGGGTTTCCTCAAGGACTGGGAGATAATGTCCTCCAGAATGGATCGCAGAACGCCCGTCCCGCAAACGATAAGGGTTCGTATCCGGGGACCCGATCTGACGAGCTCCAACTCTTCGCCAACATTAGCTTTCTTTTTTTAGCTCGTTTCTTTTTCTTCTTTTTCTACTGTGTGTTTGGAAACGTTCGTCGTATTTATTTTTCTTTTGCGTTCGATACACCTCTGCATTGAAAAACACGAAGTTCAAATAAAAAAAAAAAGGAAGTTTCGCGAAGCAAAATTGGTCACCACAAACATGCTGGTCTTTCATATCGCTTTTGAAAAATGATGTTTCTTGGCCCGTTGACGCCCGGCTCTTTTACTTTCATTTTTTAGAGTCTTCCTTTTAGTCGGCCTTCCTTTTTATTATCAACGGCAATAACTTTACTTCTTGTATAAAAAATGGATACATCAGTTATCAATGTATTCCGGAAATACCCTCAGTTGCATGAAATTTTGTTTCAATGGCTAACGTGTTTTTTGTATTTGTTCCTTTGGCAATATTTTCCCGGAAAAACGTATGTTTGTCGCAGGTTTTGTTGGTTATTTTGTTTTCTTTTCGTCTCTGCGATTGGTATAGATAAGAAGTGTTTTCTCCAATGATCATATTCATTAGGCAAATAATTTTGACAAAACACTGAAAAAGAAACTTGCGAAAATGCATTGAACAGTAAATTTATGTTCTTGAGGAAACATTTTTTAATGCCATCGACCTTTGTCTTGTAAGCTTTCCTAGACATATATAATTGTTATTAAGCGGAATATACTTACATTTATTTTTATAAGATAGCTTTGCAGGAGCTGAATTGGAGCTTTTAACTTGTGAGCTATAAATAAAAAAAAAAATTAGGAACGCTCAGTTTTTCTAAAAATCTAAGAATTTCGTGCATACTATTTTTTTTTTCAATCGTGTGTTCCTAATTTGAAAATTATGAAACTAAGGTTGATCAATTTTGCAGTCACCATTCACGTTACGAAACTAAGATTGACGCATCTCGTTTAGGTATCCTCCGACAGAATGCTTAATGCGGATTACACAGCTATCAGAGAAAAAATATTTATCTTCTGGTCACCCTCTTCACAACGTAAAACACGCAATGCCAATATCGCTTTGCTGTCCCGCCGCTCATTAAATGGTTAGCGCAGTAAAGGAATAATTTGAGATGCAACAGTTTTTATCTTCCAGACTTTCATTGTAAATTTTAACAAAATAGTTCGAGCATTAATTTCAGCGTGCGTACCTCAATCCTTTAAATTCTTTGACTGCCATCTTTTTTAGAATGTGGCTTTATTATCACCCAGTTACTTTTGGCTGCATCACTGCTTAGATGTGAGCAAACCAATTTGAGCAGATACCTGTTTTCGCATCGAAAGTGGTTAACTTACTTCCCCACGAGCTCCCAAACTAAACGAAACCACATCGAAACGCGACAAGGCGGTTTTGAAACACAGCATCCCTTCAAAAACTACCAAACATTCCGTGGTAAAAATATAACGCCATTTTATTCTAGTCGACGCCGAGCGGAACAATCTGGCACCGCCCCATGCCTCACATTCCGTTCGCCCATTACATTTAATGTTTCGTCTACTCCGATAAAAAGACGGGGGCCCAACCCCGCAACAATCGTTCCAATCCGACCGTGCCATCTTCGTGCCCTCCCCCGCTCCCTATTTCAGCTCCCTACTCCAGGTATTAAACTCGTATATAAGGGCTAACGGTGAGATATAGCCGAGAGAAGGGCACGTCTTTCTGCCAGCACGCTGAAAGCAGAGCCCCCTAACGACTGTCTCAGGAGCGTCTGGCAGGGCGGCTTCCTGTTGGCTGTCCATCCTTCTTTCTTGTCCAAGGTGGCCTTCTGCGCCGCTAGCCCCGGGACCGTCTCCTGTTTTCCGTTCTGAACCGTCGCAGCCCAATCAGGGCCCCTTTCAAGAAGGGTACCGAAGAAAATCCGGAAGGTGGAGTCTCAGTTGGAGGCAGCAACCCTAAACGCTGAGCCGTATAAAGTGCGACGATAAAAAGGATTTTATTGGACTGTCTGGATCTTTTTTTTTTTTTTTTTGAAACGAGAGGTATTGCACCGGCAGTTTCGCTGCAAAGGGGGCAAGACATAGAGATTGCCCTGGCTTCACGATGTGCAATCCTTCTTTGTTGGAAGAGTCCGTTCATCTCAAATGGGGGACGGGTGTTAGTGCGGCGCCAGTCCTGTGTAATGTTCGGTTGTGGGTGAAGCTTATTTAACTGGCGCGGAGTAAGGTATTGTGCTTTTGTAAGTCCATAAGATGTTCGCTTAAGCAAGTCATTCGTAGATTTTACATCCAAAAATATATATTACACTGTTTCAGGTTCCCCAAACACGCGTAAATTAAAAAAAAAAAGATATAGGGAGCTATTTCTTCTTTGCGAAGAAAAAAATCTCGTCTATGTTTATTTCACAAGATTTATTACTCTAGCCCCGCTCTCGGTCAAGCATTGTTTTTGGAACCATCGTACATATCATCACGTGCGGACCATGACCTAAAAGTAGGCATTCCCCATTGCAGCACCTCCACTTTTAATGCCCCCTTTCTACCCCAGATCTCCATTGATTAAAATCGCCTTCCCGCACATATACTCTCAATAACTAACACTGTTGATTTTAAATGGGTACTACGACAAAATTTCGGCGCTCAATTTTTCGTTTATATGTGTTCAGAGGAGCAGTATCACATCGAACACACCAATATCTTGTTAAAAATGTCACGAAAAGGTATTTTAAAACGAATTAGACGATTCGCAAAGAGCATCTGGTGGATGTCGCTAACGCCTTGTTTGTAATGCCCGTCTAGGAACCTTGAAAGGTAGTGACGGTAACTGTCTCGCCTACGGCTACGACAAAGAAGAGGGAAAGGAGAAACTCCCGTTTTCCCGAGAATCGTGTTTGTGTGTCCCAGGAGTCACTATTGTCCCCCTGCAAGATTATGGAAGTGTCGTGTCCGCTCGTGTTTACCAGCACCAGGGACGGCACGAGAAAAACGACGACGACACGGACACGTGCAATTCCTGGGGCGGTCGGGCGCCATCCACCTCGAACGCTTTCATGTGAAGTATTTCTTGATCTAACCTATGTAAATGAGCATGTACACTCATTATTTCACCTAGTAAACAGGAAGATTAACCAGTCATTCAAAATTCGTACAAAAGCAGCCGCTTCGGTGGCTGGAACGACTTGGCCATCCTCTCGACGTCAGCCTCGTCGTAGCTTTGCTCGTCCCGAGACGAACTACGTCACGATTGCGTTGGATGTCACATGCTGTCCGGTGGCTGTTCTCCGAGCGCTTGGTAAAATGGGCCGTTTATAACGAAAAACACAGCCATCTGGTTCAAAATACAAACGTGAGATTGTCATTTACGGATATTGTGGATCATATTTAACCTATTTTGGAGCACGACGGGAATATTTCAAATTTCGTTGAAGTATCCCTTTAAAAAGGTTATTACCAACTTTTTAACAGATGTTGCGTAGCGCGTGTTTTTTTTTTGTTTTTTTTGCTTTTTTGCCTCACTTAACTATCTTACTTTTATGTGTTAACCGCCCACTCCCCTCTGTAATGGCTTCGGGCCCTCAGGAAATAATAAATAAAATGAAAAAATAAATATATTAAATTTTCGAACAAACAAAAGTAAACTTCACGAAAGAACTCGTAGGATTTACGATACGTACGTTGCAAAATATTCAACACGGGTCAAGTGAGGACGAAATTTTGAACAATATAATAATGACAACCATTTTCTAGAATTCTTTACGAACACTTTACTAGTGTTGTCAACAATTAAGGTATAACATTGGCCAGAAGACATAAACTCCAGTTTTACTCATATTTAAAAGAGCGCGCTGCTGATAATCTGATTGAACTGTTCATGTCTGTTTTTAGTTTCTTTCAGTTGGAGCAATCTCTTCACGTACCATTTATTTTTATAACAATAGTTTTTCGCAAAACAGATGCAATGTCAGTAAGACATTCAGGCATTTGTTTTGATGAATTCAATTCGCACTACATCAGTCTCTTAACATAACTAAAACATCCAATCTATTCACAACGTACACAGGTCAGACGCGGATAAATAATTATCGTAGATACATTTATGACCCTGGTGTTCCAGCGACGTTCGCATGCTGTTTGATCTGAATTATTTGTTGGAGACAGTTGGAATAAAATATATATCCATATGTCCTTGTACGTTAACATACTTCACTTCAGAACAACAATTGCGACACGTTTTATAATGTGGTCACTGAGAGCTCAAACTACGCTGGGCGGGCATATGAGGTTCCCGCATCCTTCTCCCTGATTCGATTTTTTTTTCTCATAGCCTAAGGCCGCAACCTCTTTGGCTAGAGAGTGAAAAGAAGATGTTAAGACCTCGTCACGTTCTGCGTTTTGTAAGAAGTCTAACTGCCCCAGTGGGGCCTCTAATTTTAAAAAAAAAAGAGTGTACAAATGAAAACTCATAAAAAGGCCAGCCAACAGATCCTCAGCTTTAGGACTCAAACCTAACTCATCGTGACCGCATAACTGTCGAAGATCTCGTACTATGTTGGCGCATCGTAACCCAGCTTTAATTTGAAAGTTTAAGATACTCAGGTGGGCTATATTATTCCTTTATTTTATGTTGGACGATGTACCCGTCATATTTTCAAAAGCCTGAAACTGAGAAGCTGTAGTTTCAGGTTTTTGTAATTATAATTGATCACCAATTAACTAGCCGCTTTTGTTTTTATTAACAACACTTCGTGTCTACGTTGGTCAGACATGACAACGCAGAATTATCGTTCCTCGTATTCGACACAAGCCTACACTTTCTGATTACTGTCGTTTTGTTCCTTTTCTCACAGACGGAGACAGCCCTAATGTATGACGCTGTAAAGCTATTCGCCATGGGCTTGCACCAGTTGGACTTGACCAGAGCGGTAGACTTTCCCGTGATCTCCTGCGACATGGCGGTATCATCATCGGATGGTAGTAGCCTCATCAACCTTATGAAGCCCGTAAGTAGATTGTTCAAAGACATATTTAATGTCAGCCGCATCCCACGACATTCAAGTAGAATGTTTTAACTTCTGGCACTCACCTGCGAAATTTTGTTGATTCCGTAGTTCTGCTTTAATTTTATAGACAATTAAAAGTAGAAGGCCGGTCACGAAAGTCTAATTGTGCAGTGAAATGTTGCAGCCGTGAACTGGAAGGCTCCCATTACGGCGAATCTGCGATACGTATGCCGAGCACGGTGCACACAATCTTCTTCGCTTGTCCTTATCGATCCCAACGTAACAAGGGCATTTTCAAATATAACACTGGAAAATAATCTTAGATTCGGCATGTTATATATTCTAGTAGAAGAATGATATGTATCATTCTTCTACTAGAATATATAACATGAATATATAACTAGAATATATAATATATATTTGGCGCAGTATTTACTGTACAGTAAATACTGCGCCAAATATTTTCTGGCACATAATCGTACAACTTTACAATCCTAACAATAACAGAGCTGGCGACACCAAAACTAGGTTTATATTTATTCAGGCAAACCAGAAACAATTTACGGCAGTACTTATGTTGTTCATATCTGTCAAAATCGCCAAAAGGAGATTACCTTTTTGGGTCCTTAAATCTTGATACAATAGCGTATGTACAGATCACAGCACCGCGACATCCAATCAGAAAAGGATTGCTTGTCACCACAGTCACATGATCGCTTACGCTCGCCAATGGGAGCGAGGTGCCATCCTCCACGAAGCCCTATTACGGCGATGACTGTATACATTGTCCTCTCGGTTTGTGGCGCCTTTGCATCTCGCTTTTCCGTCTTCGGTTTCACCAAGATACACCTGGCAAAAACTAAATTTGACTCGCTGTTATAGTATTTCTTAGGTGCCTCTCGTCATTAGGACTTTCATTACAACGTCTTGTGCTTAAATAAATGTCAAACGATGTGTTTTTTTTTTTGTTTTCTATTCGTTGCATATCGACGCACTTAAACATACATGTACTGCCGAACGCTGTGCGCAGGAAGCGTTAGGACCCTTCGATGCGCGTTCTAGCGAAGTGGCTTTATCTTCGCTGTCGTTTTCTGTGAAACAGAGTTTAAAGAATCGCCCATGGCGTGTTCTGAGTTTTATCAGAGCGGTTTTATAAAAACTCGTTTTGGGAAGCGCAACTACATAAAAAAAAGCATGTCGATCGGCTCTCACCCGCAACACCAATTTCGCAATCCAACGGGTTTCTCCGATAAAGCGGGCATAGATTTTTCGCAGCTTTATGATTTATAGCGTACCGCGGAGCACTGAACCTTCAAAGGAAAGTAGCTTCGATGGTAGAGGCATGATGCGAAAGTTTCAGTCAGGTTATAAAATAAAAAAGAACCCCTTCTTGATAATAGCCTGGCAATATTTAAAATACACTCTTTTAAATATAAATACGAGAAAGGTATAGGGAACTTTTAACTTTGTAGAGTCCCAGGACCGAGGTATTGTTACTGAGTCTCGGCTTCGACGATATTGACCAATCAGAGTACTTCAAACTTTTTCTCTATACTTTTTACTGGTTATTGTAAGCGTCCGTGTTTATACCTGGACTTCACTCCTTACGTGACGCGTTAAAGCTTCTTATGTTTTGTTTTTTTATTCTTTGTGTTTTACGCTGGGTAGAGATTCGTGAGAATGAGCTTTTCTTTGCTTAATTTTGGCAATTAGACCTACCAGAAATTGTATATCTGAAGGGCATTCTGCAGGCTTATTCACACTTTAAAAACCCGTACTTCTACATTTTCGTGGACGACAAAAATATTCAGTGTCTGCTATCAACAGAGGAAGCTTGACGTATGAGAAGGCGGAACGTATGTTGGGACCTAACATATTTCGGCCTTGTCACTGAGCAAGACATTTCGCAAACTCACGTCACATTGAGAATTTCCTCAGCTTATGGTTTCATTTCTAAGTCATATATTTTCAGGCTCGTAATACTCCCAGACCTCTGCATATATTGCAATCATTCACTCCTCATTTCCTCAAAGATGAAGTAGATACTGGAACATTTGTAATCTTAAAAGTGAGCCTAGAGGTAAACCACTCTACGCAATAAAGAATAAAGTGCAGCTAAACTCTCTTCAGTGTTTGAGCTGTTCGTTGGCGCCGCTTCATACACCTTCTAACAACTCACCCTTTTAGCTGCACCCATCTCCTGCACAGCAGTAAACTACGTCTAGTAGTCGCGATTGATTGTCGATGTTTATTAGTGTCGATTCAAAATTTTAACCAGACTACTCTCGTTCCTTTTATTGAATAATGAATTGATTAATTTGTTCTGTTCTGACTTAAAATCTAAAAATGAACAAAACTACCCATTTTTCTATTGACCATTTTGTATTACCACCCAAGGCGCACTGCATAGTTTCTGTTAAAACTTGACGCTTATCATCCACAAAAACAAACCACGGGCGCACATTTTTAAAAAATAAATATTTTAAAAGCTTGATGACTGCCATACAAAATGGTAAAGTGCTTTAATGTGAAAGTCTACAATGCTGCCTTCTAAATTGAACATGTCAGTGCTAACTAATAAAGAAAACCGTTTTCTTTTCTATATTTTTTTCAACTTCCCTCTGAACCGAGCTGATGAGCGAGTTGAAAAGCATAATCGCGATTAAAACGTTAATCAATCAATCGCAAAGTTTATCAATCAATTTCCCAGCCCTATTATTTAGTACCTGCCTTCTTGCCATAACCATTTTGTTCTGAAGATATGTCCGCAGTGAAGTTCAGATTATATAGACCGCGTCTTAGAAAGAACAGAACGAGTAGGATTATTGGCATGATTTAAAGTTTCTTTATTTCATTTTGCCACACAACAGATCACTTTGCAAGGCCTGACAGGCGAGGTGAGCTTCGACCCTCAAGGTTTTCGATCTACCTTTAATCTGGACATCATGGCCCTAAAGAGTGAAGGGCTACAGAAGGTAAGTTGTGCACTTTGCCATGACAGCTCCCTCCCCCCCCCCCCCCCTCCCTTTTTCTTTAAACACCTCGGTAAGGAATAAAAAGGAAGGGGGTTAGGTTAATCCCGTCTGAAAAGCCCTGCCCTCTGCAAAAACGCGAGACAGATGGGATTTACCTTTCGATTGGGCTTGGGCTACTTGCAGCCGAACCGTTTATGACAGCAAAAAGAGCGTAGGAATAACTGACCTAAAGCATGGCGCATGTTCTCGCATTATGCGAAGAGCAAGTCATCTGCTTCTTGGTCAGGAGTTGCGGTGACGTCAGAACGGTGCCGAGCTCTTATTGGCTGATTTAAAATAGTGGGTAAACCTCAAAGCACGTAGCACTCAGGTCTACCCAGCATCCTTCCAATCAAAGCCAGTCGGAGCTCGGCGTCATTTTGACGTCACCCTGACTTCTGCGCAAGGAGCAGACGACTTGCTGCCCGCATAATGATTAACACAAACAAGAAGAGCGCAGCGCGTCTTTCTCGGAAGCCCAGCCTCCAGCATGCGCGTCTTGCCTTCCGTCGTACTTTGGCTTCACGTGCACGTCCGAAGCTTGCGAAACGCCCAAGTGCTGTCAGATTGTTCTGCAAGTGGTACAGCCTAAGCACCTTTCTGCTGTACTTATCTTGTCATTGACTGGTGGCCTTCGTTCTGTCTGTCTTGAAATTTGTTATAGCGAAGACACCCTCTCTATGGCCGAATGCATCAATCTGAGACTTGCCCGCGTGGTTAGTATTTTGTTGTGACCCATTCATGGCGTCAATTCAAAGCATATTTTGAAATGACTACCGATTACGTAATAAACTTTTGCCGCATAACGCCGTTATTGTTCCTCACATGTGCGGGAGCAGTGAAGTCATGGGACGTTACGTCGCTACTATATATAGTTAGCGCACATGCACGTATTTCAAACTGACGTCACGTTGTCTTATATTATTACGTCTATTTCCTTAGCTCCGTGCTTAATATTGTCCCTACCACGGAAGTTTCTTAAAATACAGTGGAATCTCGTTAATTCGTACTCGAGGGGGACCGAAAATGTGTTTAAATAAAGCAATGTTTGAATTACCGGGACTTTTCTCCCATAGAGACACATAAAATGAGACCTGCATGTTAGTTTGAATTATCCGCAAGTTTGAATCAAAGAGATTCGACTGTATGTTCAAATAGGTAACTCCAGAACTATTATGTTTGTTCCCTCATCCGAAATCCTTGTAAACATACCTAAAAATTATACGTTGCAAAAGAAGACGACTGAACGTAATAAAAAAATGAGTTGCTTCTTGATGCCATCAAAAATGTTAAATAAGACATGCTGTGTACGCTAAAACCGTAAAAGGTAAATGCTTTATTACCCTTCCGCAGTCTTTTCTTTTTTCTTGATTAATTTTCTTGACCCACGACATAAAAGTCACATGAAGGAATGTTATTTCAAGCAAATATCGTGTCTATTCATTCTATCCGGCCAAAAAGCTTACAGAGGCCGATAGAATAGTCCTGTCGAAATGCCGCTCCCGTCATAAAAGCCGGTTTGCACATTTATAAATGTCTGTAGGTATGGAAACCATTAGTTCTTTGTGCATTTGTTAGCGAAAGGCTCGGACTGAATCCTGAACAAGTTTTTATGAACGCGTCGTCTTCACGAAGTTTGGGGAGATGGTTCTTTTTGTTTCTGTATTTGTTTTCGGTTTTTTTCTTTTTTTTTTACAACAGCACAAAAGGCCGTGTATTCAATGCGCCTGCTCCCGCTTTCTAAGAAGCGTCATTTGGTAATGACGCGACCCCTTGTGAACTTCAAAGTTCCGGTTCTTTCAAGAGGTAAAGAAACGTCCATTCAAAGCGGAAAGCGTTTGAAACTCTTTTCAATGGTGTGAAAAAATTTGGGCGATAGTTGCCCTGGTCACTCTTTTCAATTCGTATAAACGTTTTACATTAAGAAAGCAGTAATGTTAGAGAGAAATTATAATGCGTCTTTTGGAAAAGCTTCGTTTTTTAAATTATGAAAATATGCAATGTGATTTTTTATCTCAAATTAAAAACGATAATTAAACTAGTTAAAGAAAAGAAAAAAAGTAATGCTGAAAAGAAATAACAAAGTTCTCAAATGTTTCTCTCCCTTCTGCGTTTAAGTTTCCATTTCACACCCCAGCCTCGGTTAAGTTACACCATGGTAAACGGAATACATTACTCGTTACTAGCAAATAAAAAGAACGCGTTAGTGACCTACGTTGTCTAAAAAAGGAAACATATTACGATTACCGTTACCGACAAATTGTAACAGAAGTAACTTTTGCGTTACTTCATTTTATGAATTATCAGGGTTTACTCTTTTTGAAGTTAGATGTATGCATAAACTCCATATTAAACAAACAAAAAAAAAACATTTTGTTCATATTGAAACTGAACATAATTACCTTTTCTTTTTTACGCTTTCACCTAAATACTCACAAGCAAAACGCATAGAAAAACGCCAAGAACTAAAAAATTCACATAGCTGCATGCCTCCAAACACCGAAAAAGTGTAATTTATTTTAAGTCTTGGAAATAATATAACGAGCAACGTAACAACGTTACCAGTTACTGTTTTGAAAAATGGAACGTGTACGTTACGCGTCACTGCAAAAAAAAAGTAATACGTTAACGGTAACGCCGTTACGCGTTACCGCCAACTCTGCATAGGACTTAACACATATTAGGGTGATTCCACTCTTTCGTCTTGAAAAATTGCGCTGAAGAATATCCTGTCACCGAAACCGTTTAAGACTTCAGAAAAAAAAAATATCATCAAAGTATATCGAAGTAGAGTACGCACGTGTCTCCTTAAAGTATAGACACGACATGCGGCTCATTCATCGACTACTGCTAAGCTTCTTCAGTGTGAAAAATGTACAAAGTGAAAACTGGAGAAAAACAAAAACAAATATATTGTAAGCGATTCAGGGCGACCAGTACTTTTTGCTGTTGTTTTCACGCGGTCGCGGGTTTTCACGAGAGTCATTGTTCGCATGCCCTTTTTCATCTCCGGAGGCATTTTCGCATCATTCTGGTTGCCCCATCGCGTGCACTATGGACGTACAACCTTCCAGAAACTCCAGCATCCAGACCCCCGAAGCGGTTGATTCATATAAAGATAACATATACGACGTTCGCAAGGTCAAATTGACCGACGTAACAAAAAATCTCGACATGTTCATGATGTCGTCCCATAATAATGCTAATAAAATCGAATATGTGTTTTTGCGTGCTTCGATATTTCCGAGGCACACTAAAGTAGATTGCGGTATAAAAAAAAATCTAATTTGTAATTCCGTTGGAGGGGTTAAAAAAAAGAAACGCCCCAGGTCTGCACTTTAGCGGCGTTAATTAAGGTAGTCGTGAAGGTGAGAGAGACCGAGTACTTCGAAGAGTGCCTAGACTTGCGAGAGGTAGCAACTGAAATCACACAGATTATTAGTCGTTTAATGTCGGAGGCTTCCTGTGCAGACTAGGTGACTGTACGCACGCGTGGCGTTGTCTCGTGGCGAGGATGAAAACAAATTAAGACAAGCGAGGACGCTTGCGAACGATCAACGCTTTCATTCCCTCCTTTCATCCCGCATTGCAAACGCGTCCGATAAACCACGTGACCTTCACAGGGCAGTTGGAAGAACTCTACAATCCAGGCACCCTAACACTTTGGAGTGGTGGCAGCGCGGCGCGCGGGAAAGCATATCGAACGCGAGGTTAATCTTCATTTAGCTGGAACGGGCTCCAACGGAGCCGCCCTCATATGCTCCCCGCTGCAATGGGGCCATGGAGAATTATAATTTTACTCAAGTGCTGCCGGGCGTCGTACACGCAATTAAAGTTGTACAACTGCAACCTCCTCGTCTTTCACAGAAGGAAGGCGTGCAAGAGCTGCCACTCTCTATTCGAAAGCGACACGTGAATTGGACAAAGTCGGAAGAAGTGACCTTCTAAATCGGTCGCGGCGAATCACTTCGATAATTCGCAAACGCCTCGCCTCACACGTTTGGAGGGAGTCGTCGCGGTGTTAGGAGTTGCATCGGATTGCAGATGTCGGGGAACAAAATATTGGAGGCTCCTGAGAGAAACAGTTTCCTAATTAGGTTACGTCAAGTGTTAGAGAGTTTAGAGTTTGAGGATACATTTATTTTGTATATTTCTGCAATGTAATCGGGCGACAAAGGCGCGTTTAAAACACGCCTTTGTCGCCCGACGCTTGTTTGTAACACTGATGTACGTGAGAATAGAAAAATATGTACCAACTAAAGCACTTTGAAAGTACGATGTGTGACATATATCTATGGTAATTCAGGGGCTTTGGAACATTTATTTCTGATCAATTAGGCTTCCTGTGAAGCTAGCTCAAGTATCAGAACATCATAAAAGCCGAAATGTGTTTCTTGCCTCATTTTATTACGGCTTCAGGATCGTTGGCAATACATTTTTAAAAATATCATCTATTATATAAATAAGTGATATAATGACCACTTTGTTTTAACGTTCTGTTTTTTACACTAGGTAAGTAAATATCACTAATTTTATTTGCAGCACAATGTGGAGAAATTGATTAAAACTGTTTCTCGTCATCTTTCTTGTTTACAATATTGTGTTTTATATTTCAATATTACATTTCTGAAAACACCGAAAGTGTTTTGTACATTTAAAGTGAGGATTCGCCTGATTACCTATGTTTGCAAGCTTTAATTCTCACGCGTGATGTTTTCGAGTTAGGGTCTCGCTGTACGCAAATGCGCTGCTTCAAGTATTCTGCACCCAAAGGTTATCCTCTGGTTTCCCCAGAACACTGAAGTTTGGAAGGCGTCTTCAAACCTCAAGGCAGTTTCTGTAATGTCCAAGCTATTTATGCGACGCCACTCTCAGGAAATTGCCCCTTTACGCCCAAGTTAGAGGTCGCGGAACAAACTTTCTGGCTGGATGGAATTCCACTTAGAACAAATGGAGGGTAA